GTGTCTGCATTCTCATTTAGTTGTGGTATTGTTTAATTTCTTCCTTTATTTCATCTGTGACTCATTGGTTGTTTAGGATGATATTGTTTAATTTTCATGTGTTTACAGAGTTTTTGCAGTTTTTTTTACCATTAATTTCTAATTTCATTGCAGTATGGTCAGATAATATGCATAAGATAATTTCAGTTTCTTTGCATTTACTTAAGCCTGTTCTGTGGGCTAGTGTATGGTCTTAGAGAACATTCCATGTGCAGCTAAGGAGAATATATTCTGATGTTTGGTGGAACAGTCTAAAAACATCCACTAAGTCCGTTTGTTCACAGGTTTGGTTCAGTTCTGTTACTTGTTTGATGGCTTTTTGTGTAGGTGATCTATCTCTTTGTGATGATGGGGTATTGAAGTGTCCCATTACAAATGTGTTATTGCTCATTTGATTTTTCATGTCTATTGATAATTGTCTTATATAGTTGGTTGCTCATGTATTTGGTGCATATATATTTATGATTGTTATCTTTTCCTCTTGTAGTTTCCCTCTAACAAGTATGTAGTGACCTTCTTTATCCCTCTTGATAGTTCTTGGTTTGAAGTTGACATTGTCTGCAAAAAGAATAGCTGCTCCTGCTTTTTTCAGGATTTCAGTTGCTTGGAAGATTGTTTTCCATCCTTTGATTTTCAATCTGTGAATTTCTTTTTGCATTAAATGTGTTTCTTGTATACAGCATATTGTTGGATCTTGTTTCTTGATCCACTCTGCCAGTATGTTTCTTTTGATTGGTGAGTGGAGGCCATTTACATTCATGGTTATAACTGGTATGTATTGGCTTATCTTTGTCATGGTATATTCCTGTTACTGGTTCCCTGCTTTTCCCTTCTGTTTAATTGCTTGCCCTGCCTGCTGGTTTCTTTGTGTTGTTGTTCTTGGAATTGTGGTCATTTTTATCTCTGTGTACAATATCTTTCAGTACTTTTTGTAGTGTTGCTTTGGTAGTCATGAATTTCTTCAGTTGTTCTTTGTCCTGGAAATATGTTATTTCTCCATTACTTTTGAAAGATAGTTTTGCAAGGTACATCAGTCTGGGTTAGATGTTGTTTTCTTTCAGAACCTGAAATACTTCACTCCAAGCTCTTCTTGACTTGAGGATTTGTGTTGAGAAGTGTGCCATGATTCTCATGGGCTTTTCCTTTGTAGGTGATCTGTTTCTTTCCTCTAACAGCTTTTAATATTGTTTTTGTGCTGACTCTCTGGAATCTTTGTTATTATATGTCTTAGTGTAGTTTTATTTTGGTCATGAATGTTTGGAGTTCTAAATGCTTCATTTATTTGTACGTTAAATTCTTTGTCCACACTTAGGAAGTTTTCTGCCAATATTTCTGTGAAGATTTTTTTAAAAATATCGTTTGTGCTGTCTCCAGCTTTCTCACTGACCCCAGTCTATCTTATGTTATTCTTTCCTTCGTCTTGCACCTGTTGGGCTCAGTTTTCATGGTCTCTTGCTAATTTTAAGATACCTTTCTTTTCATTATCACTAGCTATAATTCTTTCTTCAAGATCTGAAATCCCATCCTCTCCTTCATTCAAACTGTTGTATATGCTTTCAATGGAGGTTTTAATCTCTTGGATTTCTGTTTGGATCTGTTGCATGGATTCCACTTCTTTTCTCTGCTGGGCATTATTTGGTTGCATCATTTTTCTGAGCTCATCTATTCTTTTATCTGTGCCTTCTCTAATATCTTTGATTTTAAGCATCATTTCTTTCTATACGTGAGAGATTATTTTCTCCATAGCCTTTTCCACTTGTTTTATCAATTTTACTGCTATCATTTTAAAAAGTTCCAGTGTTTGATTTCTAATTTCATCCATTTCCTTGAGTTTTGGGCTTGCTTTGGGTGGGCTGGGGGGTCTGGGGTCTCATTTTGTTTCTGTGTCTTGTCATTTTCTATTTTCTCTTTTATATTTTGTTTTCTATGTTGATACTTGCCAGTTTCTTAGGATATATAGCTTTATTGCTAGTATTTAGGTTTCCCTATAAGGTGTCTGTTGTTCAGGGCTGTCTTCTAGATGTAGGTAGTTTCTTAAAGCTATCCCAACGCCCTAAATTCCCAATTTGTAAAGTATGCAAGAGTCCTATTTGGCTCAGCTCCCAATCCTTTTGTACTGGGCTGTGGTGGGGATTATGATGTCATACAGCCACAATCTTATCATACGGGGAGAAAAACTGTTCATAACATGTATGACATCCTGGCTAAAGTAGTATAGTTAGTAATAAAAATTGTTTCAAGTACAGCTTATCTACTGATACACTGTGGTAACCATTAACCTGTTATGTCTGACCAGAGGAGTAAACTCTGAAATTACATAACAAAATCAAACATATACTGTGCACTTGCATGCAGTAGTTTTCCCCTTAGGTGATTTTACCCTTCTATTGGGAGCAGGGGGATTAAGATGGTTAGAGGGTGGGCAAAAGTGATGAGTGAGGTCAGATATAGTAGAGTCAAGGCTGGAGATTAAAGGATGGTCACCCAAGTTTTAGGAAACTGGAGGACACAGGAGGGAAAGGATAAGGTAGAATTCAAAGGAGTAGTGAGAAAGGGCAGAAAGAGTGTTTACTCACTGGAAAGCTTAAACTCAAGAGGTAGTTGAGGAAAGAGAGAAAGTGGGTCTATAGAAGAGAATGAAAAAAGAAAGTAAGAAACCTAAAGACTGAAAAAATATAGGGAAAAGGAGAAAGAGGACAAAAATGAGCAGAGGAAAAAAAAGAGAAAGGAGATGAAAGAGAGGAGAGAAAAATAGAAAAAGAAAAAATAAAAACCCCAAATACAAAAATAATTACCAAATACAGAAGAAAACAAGATAGCATCCAACCAGACAGGAGAGGGATACCCAATCAGACAAACGGGGAATCAAAGTAGTAAAATACCTCTGGGGCGTAGTTCTGTAATAGTGCCCATATTTAATCCCCGAAATGTGTTGGGTGTGGAGCTGATCTTGGCCTCTGGATGTTGGACCTGCAACTGGACTTCTGATGGTGGAGTTCTCTAGAGTCTTAACTGCTGGCTCCTTGCTGCTGAGTCAGACACCCCAGGCTGCTGGTCTCACCAATTACTCCACCCTCCAAAGGCGTGTGTGTGCTGGTACACCTGGGACTAGGCTGTTGTCCTGTGTCTCAGGTCTTGGGGTTTGTGTAGTGTCCTGGACAAAAATGTGTGTCCTTAGACTCCGCTCAGAGACCCCGCTGTCCCCGAGACAATGGAGGAAGCACAGAGCACGGACTCGCTGTCCTGTAGCAGGCCCTGTGTCCCAGAGGGCATGGAGGAAGCACAGAGCACAGACTCGCTCTCCTCTTGCAGGCCCTGAGTCCCAGACAAAATCCACATTTTGAATATACATTCATTGGTTGGTCAACACTTGGGTTTACTTATGTTTTGGGGTATTACAAGTACATGCTGCTGCTATGAACATTTCTACACAAGTTTCTGTGTGATTATATGTTTTTATTTCTCTTGGTTATATACCTAGGAGTGGAATTACTGGGCCATATGTAATCCTGTTTTACTGTTTTCCAGAGGTGCAGTAATGCATCAAAAAGTCAGGAAACAAGGCAAAGGAGCACAGAGCCAACACTTTTTGTAAGGACTTTTTAGGCAGTTGGGATTGGTTAGTCTCTAAGACAAATCTTTGATTACACCAAACTTAGTATATTCCAAGTATATATCATATCAGATCTATTTGGGAAAGCCTGCTTCTCACAGCCAAAAATTCGTTAAACACACCAGTGCATCTCTAGAATGCGGCGTTACCAATGAAAGCTACCACACCCTGTCTGGAGCACACTTGATCGTTACCTCAGTAAGTGTGACTGGTCAGCTCTCAGAGAATTAGGTACTCCATTTTGACTCTAATTGAAATCTTGTTCTGGAAAATACTCAGATAGTCAAATTGCTTTCACTGTCCTTTACTAATGAAGAGAATACTAGTTATGGTTGAAAAGCTTCATCAGAGTTGAGATTATTATACTTGAGAGAAACATTTCTCTCTGTTTTCCTTTGTCCCCCTGCAAGAATCCTGACTCAGGGCAGTTCCTAAATGAAACAGTGCTTTGGGGACCTATGAAAAAGGCAGTCTGCAGGAATTGTTAATTATTTCTAAAAATAACTCCAGGAGACAGGCTAATGTAATGACTGGGTTCTGGCACTTTATGGTTATAGCAACCACTTTTATATATTTTGATTTTTCTCCCCTAATGCTTAATTATCTCTGTATGGGCATTATGATGGTATGTCATTGAAAGTACTAAAAATTTAATTAATTGCATAATAGTTATATCTTGTAGAAACTACAATAATGGTAAATTTTTTTTACATGTTTTATTATTGGTTCACAGGAACCTATCTAATCACAGACCAACCACAAAATATTCAAAATGCAAATCAGACACAATAAAGTATAGCTACCAATTACAGATTTTAGTGTTTTTGTATTCTGTAGCAACAAACTGCTAAGTCTAAGAAAATGTCAGCCAGAGCACTTTATCATTCCCTGATCTCTATTATATTTCCACTGAAAGATTTTAAGCTTTGTCATAGAAGTATAGCTGGAGTCATAAATTTACAAAAGGTATCAGAAAAGGCAAATATTTAATTGTAAACCATAGAAATTTAATATATTGAACATGTCAGAGTTTTCATTTTATGATTGGATGGTGTAGAATTTTATCAGTTTTCTATAATAATGATTGCATATTCTGGCTTATTGTGATTTTCTTAATGAATTACTATTTGTTCTTCAGATAGATCTGAAATCATATCTAGCAAGATAACTAGAGTCTACCATGTAACTGGTTGGTAATGAATAGATTTTTAAATATTAATTTTCACGGTCTTGTTAACATTATACAGTGAGGGAGTCTAATGGTGTTTAAATCTTGACATGTAGAAAGGACAAAGAGTTCATGTAGTGTTTTAGTATCATCTCTGTAATCTTATCACTTGTATTTCAGATAAGACCAGAAGTCCCTATTCCCGATGAGTTAGATGAAGATGAAGATGAGGAGGATGTGGATCTTTCAGTTCCTGGCTCTTGTTATCTCAAACTGTTGTCACTCACTGCTCCCTTGGTTTTACCAGGTGACTTCTATATGGTTGCAGGGGAGCTGGTATTTTTCATTGAAATTTCCTCTTGGATTGTGTTCTTTTGTGATGTGTGTATACTATAGTATACACACCAAAAAATATTAGAATCAAGTAAAATTGAACTGGAAATTAGTTTAAGAAATTGTCCTTGGGCCTGTGATACAGCTCAGCAGCACAAGCAACTGCCTGGCAAGTGCAAGGTCCTGAGTTCCATTCCTGGTACAAAAAAAAAGAAGAAAGAAAGAAAGAAATTGTCTCACACTGGATGTGGTGGCACATGCCTGTAATCCCAGCCCTCAGGAGGCTGAGGGGGAATTGAGTTCAAGGCCAGCCTTGACTACAAAATGAGTTCAAGGCCAGCCTGAACTGCAAAGTGAGACCCTGTTTCAAAAAGACAAAAAAAAGAAGTTGTTTTCACTGATAATTAACATTCATTTCAAAAGCTGAATGACTTGGTTTAATCAATCGTCTTCATTTTGTAACCTCACTGCAAAGATCATTAGACTATTTAAGAGATTAACTTCATAGTTCCATAATTATAAATTTATTCTTTCTATGAAGTGGTCCAAATATATTACTGATGTATGAGAAATATAAATTATTTTTTTAAAAAATGGATCAAATTGTGTGGCCATTCAGTTTTGATATAAGGCTTATGGGAACGTTTTTTAAATTTTTTTTTTATTTTAAAGGTTAAAAAAACTAACAAAACAACAATGAAGAGAAATCAAAACAACACAAAAACAATACATGACCCCAAAACAAAATGATAGGAATTAACAGTGGTTGGTACATTTCATGCTGTTATCTTCAACAAAGGTGCTCAGGCCACCAGACATAAGAATGTAAGATTGATCAAACAATCAAAGACACTAATAAGTAATTAAAAAAAAAAATTGAAAATGATGCAGAGCTTCACCATACAAGATGGTAGGAGTCCCAACAATGGTTCTTGGACTGCATATTGTTGCTTTCAGATCAGTCATTCTGATTACCAGATACAAATGTGCAAAATTGGTCAAGAAAAAAAATTTTAAGCATTAACTCTTCCTCGCAATAAACCACAGAGGTCAGCAGTACACCTATCCCAGCTATCCTTATATAGACATATAAATTTTGTTTTTCATTTTAAAGAGGAAGAAAAAGAAAAAAACCAAAATAACAAAAATAAATACATAAACAAAACAACATGGAGAACAATAAAAATGATACAAAATTTCAAAATAATAGGATATTAACAATGGCTTTTATATTACATAATGTTATCTTCAAAATGGTTGCACATATAATCAGATATAGGCATGCAAAATTGATCAAACATTAACAGTTCCTTTCAGTAAACCAACAGATTAGTAGTGCAATTATCCCAAGCTATCCTGTGTATACATATACATATTTTTTTCCTCTGCTTTCTTTTTCCTGTCCCCTCCTACATCCCAGTTGCTCCTTCCTATTTGAGCAGTTTCTTGTTAGGCTTATTGGGAACTTTAGCTTTTAAAAAATTATTCCAGTGCATACAATATAGTAATCATTCTTTATAGATGTCATACTTAGAAATATTCACCTGCCTCTATTTCTCTGTCTTACCCAAGAATTGGTAGATGGTCCCATTTGAGAAATTTGTTTGTGGATTATGACTGAGAATTTACATTATTTTAAATGTTATTTTCTGATTATTAAATATTCCCTAAGGGATCCATTGTGATGAATAGATTTTCAGTGTTTTTCAGTATTAGGCAATATTTTTTATTCTAATTCTACTTGACTGTTTATGGATAGAAAAATTTAATTTATGAAAATGAAGTCCAATAAAAATAAATCTTATTTTAATGGTCATCATGTTAGCCTGTAATGTTGGAGGTTTTTTGTTTTTTATTTCCCCTTTGGTTTCATCTCTGAAGATTCCTGGGAAACAGGCAAATAAGTATTATTTATTTCTACCCAAATCTCTTGTTCCAATTCATGGAAACTTGTTTACTGTTTTCTTGTTCCGTACTTCCTGTCTCATAGCTCTTTAGGGTCACTTCTGAGGCTAATAGTGAGTTCAAGGTGGGAAAAGCTTTATTATCTAACATAACTCTGTACCCTAAACAACCTTAGCGTCAAAGTCCCTTGGGGCTTTTCCTTCTTACACTTAGTCCTCTCGCTGCAGTCCTGTGGTGTGGAAAGGGGAAGGGGAAGGGAAAGGGAAGATCTGGGGCATAAGAGGAATGGTTGCTGAGATGCATCTGCTCCTGTCCTTCCAGCACCTCCAGCACGTGCAGCGCTGTGGTGGCCATCGGCCGGCTCTCTTGCATTGTTTGTGCTTGGTAGTTCCCACTGCCTTTCCCTGAGAAGGGAGGCTCTGAGAGCAACAGTTGTCATTGTTTGAAAATCAGTTATTAGAGTCAGGTGGGTGGTCTTCATGCTAACCATGTCTGGCAAACCATCCCCTTGGACAAAGCTTTTCCTTTTACTGTGCTTCCCTTTCCCTCAGATGACTAGAGAACTAAAACACAAGCTAGGACAGTGGTTCTGATCTTAGGAATATCAGCAATACAATGTATATGGTGAATGGTATGTTAATCACTAGTCACTACAGGCAGAAAAGTGACTCCTACTGGAAGTAGAAAACCCTGGCCCTTTTCTCCTCTTAATTCTTTTTAAATGAGCAAAAAGCCGCTGCAATTTAAATCCAGTAATTTGCATGAATCTTAATAGGGATACTACTAGTATTGGGCTTTTTTTTTTTTTAGGGTTTTGTTTTTTTTTTCTTTTGACACAGGATCTTGCTGTAGAGGGGAAAGAAACTCCCAACCTGAGAGATATCTGGGAAGAGTTCATGTTCTCTAACATCGAAGAATGAATTTTAGGAACAATGGAGGTTAACAGCAGAATATATTTATTGAAGGAAAGAAAGCTTCTGTGAGGGAGAGAGACAGAGAGAGAGAGAGAGAATGAACGAACAGAGGACAGACAGACAGAAGGGAACCTGAGTGGGTTGCCCAGGGAACCTGTCTTTCCCAAGCATGTTTATAGAGCAAAACCAAAAGGTGAGGTGGGTCTAAGGTGAGGAAAGATGGGAAATCACAAGGTGGGTATGAGGTTGGACAAAATTGTTCAGGTAAAATTGATTAAATCCGGATTAAATGCGGAAGTGAGTCACGTGGCAAGTGGGCATGAATACACAACAGGGGATTTTTCTGTAAGGGGTTGGGTCAGTGACTCTGCAAGGTGATTGTTACCTATTTAAAATGTCAATCCTTGATGTCCATCCCTAGGGAGTATGTGGTTGTGCTTGTTTAATCTTTTGTCTTGCGGTCTGGCCCTCAGCAAGTGTGGGCTGTAAGTTGTGAGGTTGTCTTCATACTGGCTGCTTTGAGTGCCTGGCCCTGTCTGACGGCCTGTGATATTTCTATCTAACTCAGCTGCCTATAACAGCTGTATAGTCCAGGCTGTCCTTAACCTCGTTATGTAATCCAGACTGGCCTCACATTCACAGAAATCCTCCTGCTTTAGCCTCTTGAGTGCTGGAATTACAGAAATGCTCCACCACACCCAGCTCCTAGTGTTGTTTTCTTTCAAAGAAAGGTTTGTTTTAAAATGTCTTTAGAAAAAAAAATTTTTTTAGACTTTAAGGAGCTGTGAAAATAGTTCAGAGTGTTCCCATGTATCTTTTACCTAGCTATTTCTACTGATAATATCTCACATAACCATAGTATGTTATTTCAAACCACAAAATTGTCATTAGTATAGTATTATTAATTGAACGGGAGAATTATTAGATTTTACCAGTTATTTTCAATATGTAAACTTTTGGGGTTAGCTTTATGTCATTTAACATAGCGTCCCCGAGTTCATTGAAAATTGTTGCCTGTATCATTAGGTTTTGTTTTATGTTTTGTGTTTTGTTTTTGTTTATTTTAGTTGCTCAGTGGTATTTCATTGTATGGATATATTGCCGTTTATTTATACACTCACTTGCTGAAAGACACCAGGGTTGCTTAAAATATGTCTGATACTCCTTGTCTTACAAATTTTCTGCTGCTTTTCTAGTTCTTACTTGGTCCTCTGTAGGAAAGAGCCTGCAGGGGTGGCAGACCTATGGCATGCATGGTACAGAGGGTTGTTTGTATCATTGAAAGCTCCAAGAGGGTCTCCATCACTGGCCTAAAGCAAGGCTCTAATGGAAAAAAAAGACTCTCATTGCTAGCTTAGCAACTAGGCAAAGAGGATGCTCTATGTACTGTCGACATTCAAACTCCTACTATCTCATCCTCATTTAAAATATTCTTTGGGCTGGAATTATTTAAGAATCCCTAATTTGCTGTAGAGCTTGACAGGAGAAAAATTTCCATTTTGGAGTTAGTCCATGTGCAGATATGTTCTTGTTCCTGTTGCAGAATACTGTTATTTCTGAGAAAATATAGAATTTCTCTTACCGTAGCATTGCTATCCTCAAAAAAAGATGATTCACATTCCCAGCTTAAAGCAAGCAGTCACGGTTGCGCCTTTGTATTCAAGAACTGGGGTATTTGACCCGCAGTAGATGTTACTCATCTTTTTTGTTTAGATGTTGTATTGGTTAAAGTTGTAACAAGAAAGGTAGATCATGTTTAGAGGAATAAATGAGAGGTTTAATAAAGGAACTATTTATGATTTTGCTTTTAAAGATAAGGGAAGTTCATTACGTCCAGTAAATCACCCCAGAGTGGTTAATATCCCTTGACCTAATATCCTCAGGGGAGGGAGAATAAGAAACTGTGTTTATCACAAATCGGTTTGCCTAGGGGGAGTCAGGGGCCTCCTGAAGAGGGATTCAAGAAACCTGTAGGAACCTGCAGGAAGGTATCTGGAGGATACATTTCCTGACATCATTCTGTTTTCAACTTCTGATCTCCTGCCTGTGTCTCCTGGGGGTTGAAGTCCACAGAAGCCAGAGAATAAGGGAGCCGGAGCCCGTAGGTGAATTTCTTAAAAATGCTTCTTGAAGGGCTCAGAGTAGGGTTAAGAAGAGCAGAGAGCATGTCTGAAGGGATAAATGGAACACCAGCCCTCCTGCAGATATTATCTGAGATTTGAATGGAGAAACTTTGTTTAATCTAGGAGAGGTTTAATGTATACAGGAAGGACAGAACTGGGCACTTAATAGATGCTACAGGGAGAATTTGCTGACCTTAATTTAATTTAATCATAGTCATTTAAAGGAGATTTTTAGATAAGTACAGTCAAAATGAAATTCCAGCATAGTGAGTTAGAATCTTGCTTTTGTTCCTGTAAGAAGCAGAGCAGTTTTTCTCTCTCTTTCATACTCCATACGATTTCTTTGCCTTTCATGTTTCTTTGTTTTTGTTTCTGTATTGGGCAGCCTCTAGTGGTCCTTAGGAAAATAACACTTGGATATATTTTGTACATCCTCTTGTCTTCTGATACATTTCGATGTTATTTTTAAAAAAATAAAACAGCAAAGATCTTAGGCTTAATTTCAAGGAGCATAGTAAAGAAATAATGAACATATATTTCTTTTTTAAATAACTGCTGATATTGTTATAGAATGATGTTTGGTCATAAAAAACCCCCCTGAAAACACCTAAAAGACTAGAAGGAGCCAGTCACATGATTATCTGGAAATGATATGTACCAGGTGAACGGAACAGCAAGTTTGGTGGCCCTAAGATAGCAACTTTGTGGTTTTAAGAAATAGAAAGATGCTCTTTGGAAGTGTAACTTCAACTTCCAAAGACAAGGAGGGAGATGATAGAGATGAGGTCAGAGGGAATGTCATGATCTTCGTGGTCAGAATTTATGAAGTTATTCTGTATAATGAAAAACCATTGGACGACCTCAGAAAGGAAATATTAACATTCTGGCTTCTGGTGAGTGGCGAGTTTTCAGGAGTGGCCATAACAGAAAGAAAGCGATAAACTAGTTTTTATGTTAATGTACATGAGGGAGAAAGATAGTTATACATAGGTAAGTAGCAGTGAAAATGAAGGAAAGGATGTATTTGTGATATACTTTGAAGGTGGAGGCAGAGTTTGCTAATGGATTACATACAAGAAGATAGGAATTAAGAATGATGCCTGAGCTCAAACACCTGAATGCCATGTTCTAATTTGGTGAAGAGTAAGAAGGGGATGGAGATCAAGAGTTTTCTTTTCGCCATGTGAAATTCAACCGACGTATAGCCTAAATGTTTATATAAAAATTAAGAATGAATATTTATTTTCTAAACACTGTATGTACTTTAACTTTTCATCTCCTTTTCAGCTTTGGAAGAATTTTTTACATCACTCGTGAAGCAAGAAATGATGAATATGCCCCGGGGGATATATCATTCTGCCTTAAAAGGAGGTATTCGCACAGACCAAGGAAAGACTGTAGCAGGAATCCCCAATTTTATTTTGAAGATGTATGAAACAAATAAGCAACCAGGATTGAAACCTGGCCTTGCAGGTAAGAAGAGTGTATAATATCGTGTTACAGGGTTTTAATGTATGATTTAAATATCATTTCCCAGTAGGATGTAATAGGTCATGGCAAGACTGGATAAATTACAAAAATAATCATATTTTTAAAAACATCAGAAAACTATAGAAGCAAAGACAAATAGGCTAAATTTCCTGAGTGGCCTGAATATTTGAGAACAGTTTTTTCCCCATTGGAGGATATTTGCTGATTCTGATTGTGGGTTAGGTTTGAGGGTTTGTTCCAGGCATATGCCTGGGCCTGTTGGAGAGAAAAGAAACCAGTAAAGATTTTAGTGACTGTATGGAACATGTGAAAAGATTGTCAACTTCTTTAACATCAGAAAAATGTAAATAAAACTACAATAAGATACCATTACATTTCTACTTTGATACTTTGGGTCCATGAATTCCACATCTTTCGATTCAACAAACCAGGGATTATAAGTAATTTTTTTAAAAACGTGTTTGTATTAAACATGTATAGGCTTTGCTCACCTCATCATTAATCCTTAAACAGTGCAGTGTAGCAACTATTTATGTAGCATTTACATTATATTAACTATTATAAGTAATGCAGAGGTATTTAAAGTATATGGGAAGATGTGAATAGATTATGTTCAAATACTACATTATTTTACACTAAGGGACATGTGCATCTCTAGAGTTTGGTATCCACAGGGATTGCTGGAACAATCCCCCAAGGCTATCAGGGACAAATTTATTGGTGAGTATGTGGAATAACAAGAACTGCTGTTGTCAATGTCAGTTCATACACCACTTTGGAAAACTGGTACTGAACAAATTCATACTCTGTTGCCCACTTATGTTATTATTAGGGATAAAACCAAATGCAGCGCCACAGAAGCAATACTGATCAATATATATGGAATGTTTCTGTGATGGGATATTACAGAGGATAAATATACTATAACTACTAATTGCAAATAAATGATTCTCACAACAATTAGAATTAGTGAAAAAACTTAGTTATAAAAGTAGAGTAGGCAAAATGGTTGCTACAAGTTACACTTCCCTTTTGGTTGGCCCCAGTGCCAGCTGCCTTTGGAAGTTCAGTGGGAAGGGCAGAGACGAGGAGGAGGAAATGCAGTAGGTTCAGGTAGGGGGAGAGCTTGTCCACTGTGGGTATTAACTAAAGGATAACATGTTATCAAGAATATGCAAAGATTAATATGTGCAAGTGTTCCTCTTTAATTGAAATTAATATTAGGAGAAAAGCTTAATGGAATCTCTGGAACCAGTAGTTTACAAAAATTAAAATAAATCAGGCATTGTAAATTTATTCGTTTATTTATAAATGTTTATACTTATTTATATTAAGTAACTTGTAAGTACATGATATTTTAAAGCTAACTTTTTTTTTTTTGATACTTTGGATTGAACCAAGGTCCTTCCCACTGATAGCCCCACCTGCTTCCTGTTTTAAATTTTGAGACAGGTTCTTGGTGGTTACTAATTTGCACAGGTTAGGCTTGAATTTGCAGTCTTACTCTCATAACTACCCAGTATTCTGGGGTTACAGGCTTGTGCCATCATGCCTACTTTAAATGTTAGCTTTTATGTCTTTCATTTATTTATGTATTTTTTATTTATTTATTTATTTTCCTTAGTAATAGTCAAGTATCATGATTTGCTTATTAGCAAGTGATCTTATGAAATTACCTTTTCATTAGCTCTCTATCCAGATTACTTTGTTAGGTTTCTCCATAATAAGTATCTTTGTAAATTTCTTTTTTTTTTTAAATAAAGGGGGTATGCTGTTTTGCTATGATGTTGCCACGTATCAGAGTAAAGATGGCAAACCACTACATCGACTGATGGCCAGTAGAGGGCGAAGTTTTAAGCAGATGTCCCTTGCTCTTGTACATGAGGTAGGTGCCTTGCATTAGCCTCTGCCTTTTGTGTATTTTAGCGTCTCTCTCCTTCACTTTATGGTTATGAAGGTGAAAAAAATAATTTTTTTATCATAACTAATGTAAATTGTTTCTTTTTTGTTTTGTTTTAGCATTTTGTTTTGTTTTTTGAGATAGGATCTCCCTTTCAGGCTGGCCTTGAACTATGTAGCCCTGGCAATCACAGTGATCCAAGTGCTGGAATTACCACATGCCATTGTGCATCAGTATAAATTGCTTTTTTAAAAATTGCTTTTGAAGGTTACCAAATTAGCCAAGTGAATAGAATGCTAAAATATCTTGATGTGTTTTTGAAGAAACTGGCATGTTTCTCTAACTTTATAGCCTACGTATTCAGGGCTGGTATCTACATATTTGGCTTGTCTTTTCAGAGCCTAATTTCCATTGAGTAGAATAAGTTTGAAATTATTATTTAAAAAAAATACTATTTCTTAATTTTAGTCCTTTGTATATAGGGTACCAATATTCATATTTTGTGAGTGGAATTATCAGTAAATAATAATGTATTTTAAAAATAAGTCCTTGAATTAGTGTTTATTTTGCTTTTCTCTCCACTTCCCTTTTAAAGATAAAGTTATTTGATGCTGCTGAATGACTTGCATGAAATCTGATCATTGCAGATTATAGCAAAACCAGGACTAAGAGGAAAGGTGAAAAGTACTTGACAGATGTATAGTTTTAGGGCTGGGGATTTAGCTTAGCGGCACAGCGCCTGCCTGGCAAGTGCAAGGTCGTGAGTTCGATTCCTGGTACCAGGGGAAAAAAAAATGTATATTTTTGTTGTTTTTAAAAACTTCATGATACTCCTTCAGATTTATGTAAGTTAAAAAGTATGAATGAATAACAAAACAAAATATCACAGTTATACTAGTTGCCACCTATGTAAGAATGTAGCAGGATACGGAAGGCTTTGCAAGACCCATCTTTATCCTGTACCATCCATTTTCTTTTCCTGTAGTTAGAGTTGAAATGGTATAAATACTTGATTGCGGGTGTCTTCTTCTGGTCTAACCAGGAAAGGAAGATATTGGAAGAATAGTGTTTCTTTTGGAAGAAGAAAGGTTTAATTTTATGAAACAGGAGGAAAACATAGGGGATTTCTACAATTGTCTCAGCAGCTAATGAGATTGCCTGACATCTCATTAGTTGACATGGAAAAGGGAGAGATTTGGTGCTCTTTTGTGTCCTTAAACTGTACAGAGTATTTGAGGACAACCAGAGTTTGAAATCTTAAAGATGATTTTAAAAGTTTCTGTTATGGTTTGTATCTAGATGTCCCCTCAAAGCCTCATGCAGTCATGGGGTGGGCTTCTAGAGTTTATGATAGATTCGTGGTCCAGTGGAATTATGGGTATGAGTGCTGGGATTATGGGTGTGAGTGCTACACCCATCCTGCACTGGGTGTAGTAAGGTAGGTGGCCTGCATACAGTAGAAGAGAGGGAAAGAGGCTTGCTCACTGCTCCTCCCTTTTTGCTCTTGCTGCTTTTGCTGTTTTCTGCTCCATGAACTGTTGCCCCTTGCTGTGTGCCACTCTGCCTGGGAGCCAGCCAGCTATGGACTGAAACCTCTACAGACTGTTAGCTAAGTAAACCTGTTCTTCCTTAATTTGGGGTGTCAGGTGTTTTGTCTCAGCAATGAGAGATAAGTAACCAAGACAGTCACCATCAGAATAGACTCAAGAGAAAGTATTATAGTGAGGAATAGCAGAACATATCCTAGATAATGTATCAGAATTTATAAGGTATGTCCTAGACTTTAGCAGAGAAAGTCTTTGGTTTAAAATACTTGTAGCTTCTTTCGTAGTAGGCCTAGCATTTCAAAGAGATGGGAAAACAAGATGATTATTTTTAGAGTCAAGTAGAAAGCATATTGAACAGAATTCTGCCAAAGCTATTATTGTAGGGTTTTACTTCAGATTCTATCTTCTTCCTGCTTAAGTTCATCTGTGTTTTTAAAGAAAGGCAACAAGGGAATCAGCCATATAGTTTCTTAAACTGTGTGACAAAATCCAATTTGAGTTTTAAGAAATGATTAATACGAGTAGCAATTGCAGAACAGTTTGTAATCAGCTTACACACCTTTAAAATTGTTGTACATATAGGTGGTGTCTGATTTAAAGTGTTCTGCTTATGATTTTTAGAAATTTACAGTGGTATAAAAGTGACATAGATCCAGTAGAAATTGTACTTTGAATTTTGAGTTTGGGCTTTTTCCTGGGCTAGCAAAACACAGTATGATACTTTCTTTTGATGCTTGGCTGTGGCAGCAAACTGCCATGAGATCATGAAGGTGAACTTCTTATAATGTACTGTGTAGTGAAGTCATAATGTTGTTGGTTAAATATATTCCATGCATTTAAATTCATCATGGTTCATCAGAATGTCACCTAATAATCATAAGTGAGGGAGCATCTGCATATTCATGTAATTTTTGCATTAATGCTCTAAGGTAGATCTTGTTAATTTGATGAAGGTCATCCGATGGGACGTAGAGGAGCCTGGAAGTTGAACTTAGGGATGAGACTCTAGAGCTATTAAACTGCCTTTTACAGTGGTCCTCCCTTATTCGACAAGGATATGTTCCGAGGCCCTCAGTGGGTGCCTAAACCCACGAATAGCATTGAACACTATACAGTAATACCCATTCCTTCTTAACTAAGTGCTTTTTATGCAGTGTGGCTCTTTTGCAGTTGGAGGTGTGACAGCAAAAGTAGCGAGATTTCTTTTTCCTTCCTTACAATTTCATTGGTAGATTTGTTTTTACTGTACAGCTTAGCAACCTTAGCATACAATTCTTTTTTTATTAGTTGAGAACCTTTACTTTCCCACTTACGGCATCTCTTTGGCTTATTTAAATTGCAAATATCACCACTCTCACGCATTGGGACCATTATTAAGTAAATAAGGATTACTTGAACACAAGCATTGCAGTACAACAGTCAGTTGGATAACCCAAATGGCTACAAAGCGACCAAAGGGAGGGAAGTGTATGCAGTGTGAACATAGTGGACAGAGGGATGATGTACTTCGGAATGCAGTGCTGTGAGATTTCATCAGGCTACTCAGAGTAGCATACAATTTTAAAACCTATGAACTATTTATTTCTGGAATTTTCAAATTTATATTTTCAGAGTACACGGCTGGGTGTGGTGGTGCACGCCTGTAATCCCAGCACTCGGGAGGCTGAGGCAGGAGGATCACTGAGAGATTGAGACCAGCCTGGGCTACAAAGTGAGCTCAAGGCCAGCCTGAGCTGCATCGTGAGAACCTGTCTCAAAAAGACAAAAAAAAAAAAAAGTATTCATATTTTCAGAGTGCAGAAAACTGTGGGTAATCTAAACCATGGAAAGTGAAGCTGCAAATATGGGAGTCTTTTCCTCTGCCAATCAGAGAACATTTATTTTTATTTATTTTTTTTTTTTGGTTTTTCTCCGGTACCAGGAACCGAACTCATGACCTTGCACTCGCCAGGCAGGCGCTTTTGCCGCTGAGCTAAATCCCCAGCCCAATCAGAGAACATTTAAAAACTGCCTTTGTGTCTTTCTAAGATGAATAGCTCTGAACTCTTCTCCTTGCTTCTAGCGTTTCTTTTGTTGCAGTCCACTGGGTTTTTCCAGTGAAGTTTCTTCAACTCTGCTTTGGTTCTCACCACTATTATATATTTTTTTATTGTAGTCTTTCTTGAGTACTTTTTTTTTTGGAACCGGGAATCGAATTCATGACCTCACGCTTGCCAGGCAAGTGCTGTGCTGCTGAGCTATCCCAACCTATTTTAGTCTTTAAGAATCTCAATTTTTTTTTTTTCTAAATCACTAGTTAATGGATCCTTGAAGTTTTCCTAGTTCTTGATTATGAATAAATCTGGTACTATAAACATTCTTATAAAGGTCTATTTGTGGACATTTATTTTCCTGTTTTTAAGTAAATAATACCTAAGAGTGAAATTGCTAGGCTGTGTGCTAAGTGTCTATTTAAGTTTATAAAAAACACTAGACATCTGTTTTCCTACTGGCTGTCTCCTTTTCAGTACCCTCTGCAAAGCTCAAGCATTTTAGTTGCTCTGTCTTCTTACCAGGGCTTGATATGATTAGTTTTTTAAATTGTGGCTTTTCTTGTAGGTAGATAATGGCTTCCATTTTGTGTTTTATTAATAGTTTCCCTTGGGGTATTTCTGAATGATCAGTAATGTTGACCATCTTTTCATTTGTTAAAATATGTTTTGAACACATTATTCTTTTGCTTAGAATAAGCAAATAATAATGTTTTCAAGGTTTATGTTGTAGCATGTATCAGTACTTATTTTTTATGGCAGAATAGTATCCTATTATATGGATATATCACAATTAGTTTATCAATTAATCAGTTTATGTATAGCATCTCAGTTACTTTTCTGTCATTGCTGAGACAAACTACTGGACACTCAAAGTTAGAGGAGGGAAGGTTTTTGGCTCACAGTTTGTAGAGGTTTCAGTCCATAGTCACCTGGCCCTCAGGAAGGGTGGCACGGCAGAGGGGCATCACAGAGGAGAAACGGTTCATAGTAAGCAAGCAGGTGAGAGTATATTAGCCCTCTTTCTGTCCCTTATATTTTATTTGGGCTACCTGGCCTGGGGTGGGTGTAACACTTGCACCCTTAATCCTAGCCAGAACAATACCACATCTATTAGTGGTCTGATTTCCTAATCACACCTCCTTTATCCCATCACCACACTCTAGATTCACCCACCTCTGAAAAGCTCCCCATGACCTCATGAGGCTTGGAGGAACATCTAGACACAAACCATACTGACAGATGTTTTCTTGTAGAAGTCTTACATTTTAAGGCTTGCATTTTAGCCTGTGATCCATTGTAGTTAATATCTGTGTTAGATGTAAATTATATTTGTAGAAAATACCATCCTTTCTTCACTGAATTTCCTAAGTATCTGCGTCTAAAATCATTTGCCCATATGTAGTTG